TCGTTGCCCAACATTACACCGGTATTACCGTGAACGGGATGATATGGCCCAGCCCTATTTGTATCAACACTTTTGTTTGGAAGTCTTTCAGCTCATTTCTCTGTGTCTCTATTATACGATATTTGCCAAAGTTTAAACCTCATGACAGTTCTAAAGGTTATGTGTTATCGGTCATTTCATGGAGTAGCTTGGTTCCATTTCATGAATGTTAGAAAATAATTTTCCAACATGGTTCTTTGATATGTGGGATGGAAGTGAAGAGCAAATAAACTCAGACTTTTATTGTCCAACAGTGTTGTGGTTTCTTGCTTTGTTCAACAGTGTTGAAAATGTCAAATTTCCTGTGTGTTATTCTCAAACTTTACTGCATGTCTTGTAGTACATTTATTTCATTTTCAAGATTTCCCACCGTTAAGCAGCAGCTAGCTGGAGTTTCTTTTCCTTAAAGAGATGAACTCACCGCTACATTGAAGAACTGGTAAAGTGATGAAGTTTCCCATCAGCTGGTAGAGAACAGAAAGTGCTGGACAAAATTTCTTAAATGACAACATTGCCCTGCTTGGCAGGTGACTTAACAGGACTTATGAAGAAGTATGCTAACGTTTTCTAATTGGTAATGTTACAGTAGTTATTACTGGATATTTTGTTTCTGCGTGACTTTCTTTGTGCATGACTGGATGTTAGTTGCACCTCCAACTGGAAGTTAAGGTTAACTGTTCTGTGAATGGCTGATATCATAGTTATGAAAATCACCAGTGTCAACCTGCAACATGACTCCTACTGCAGGAAGTAGAGATAATTATGTGTACACATATGAAAAGGGCCTTTGGCATACGGATGACTGAAGGTGGTGTGTCTTTAATACTGTACACGTTTACAAAAAAATGACTGAGAAAAACAGTTGACGAATATTTCACAGTTACACAATACTGTGCAAAAGTTCATTACAACCCTTATTTCTTCATATTTTACTAGCGAAAATCAGGAACTCGCATGAAAATCCAGTGTAAAAAGCAAAAATTGAGTTTGTACAATTCTAACCTCGTCCATACATACTGATGATCTGAACTAAATAGAATATCGAATTTGATTTCATCTCTTCATAAGACCTGCTGCCACTGATTTTTAGTCCAGTCCTTGTGTAGTTTCGGATACTTATCACATGCAGAACTAAAAATGTAATCTACATGATACAGTGCCCATGCAATAAAATAAATATAGGAGAAACGTCCCGCCCTCTGAAAGATCGAATTAATGAACACAGATGTTCGATCAAAAGGATTGATCTAACCAGCCCTGTTGCAAGACACTTCAATGATAAACATCCAAATTCACCATTATTGTTTCTATGCATTGAAGCCATTAAACTAAACCAAAGAGGTGGTAATAATAATTTTATCCAGAAAAAAAAGAAGCATTTTGGATATTTCACTTTAAGAGTCTGCACCCCAGAGGTATGAATGAGGATTTTTCTATCAATGAGTTTTTGTGAACTGAACCCTTTTTTTTTATTTTTTATGTTTTTATTCTAATTTTATCAGTTAAATTATTCTCGCATGGGTAATGTTTATTTAATTAATTTTATTTATTTTTTTCAGCCAAAGGAGTAGCATTCTAGACATCTCATCTTAAGTCTACATTTTAACTCTACATTTTAGAGATTTTACATTTTAGAGACATAAATTAGGACCTTTTAACAAATGTGTTCCTATGGGATGATGTCCTCTTGTTTTTTAATTCAACTGCTGGACGAACCTCCTTTTATTATGAAATACTGCCTTGTCCCTTTTTTTTGTATATTCATAGTATTCTTCTTATGTATTTCACAAATGTGTTTTTTGAGACAGGTGGGGATTATGTCTCCTCCCCTCCTCATCATTAATGATCTAGTCCAGTATTTACTTTTGCGTGTCTTAACCAATTAATCAATACCTACCTGTTATATGTCATCTGATCTATCGATGAAGTTTTGATTGGTTAATTTTAATTTTTTATCTGTTTCCTGTCTTGCATTTAAGCAATTTTCTACAATGTTTTACTATGACCCTGATGAAGGCCACAAGCCGAAACGCATTGGTCAATTATTAAGCTGGAGTTCCTGCATTGTGAATTCTTACATCCTCTCCATGCACCTTGGAAGTAGGTGAAGTTGTGCCAGAAATTTTTGCTGTAGTTTCAGATACCTCAGCCAAAAGAAAGTCTTCCTCCTTAGAGGTAAAATATTTTTTTTAAAAAAGGATGAGTGGCTCAAGTGTTTAAATAAAATTCAATTTGCACTACATTTAAATCCATACTGAAATAAGGAACCTCATAAATTATAGTTATTAAATGGTTTCTATAATAGGTTTTTGTGTTTTGTTGTAAAATAGTAAAGTTAGGAAATAACTACCTGAACAAAAACAAACACTGGTGGCTAAAAATACCTGAAGCTCAAGTTAGATTACACTACTCTATAGTTAATCATAACAGTGTGACTTGTATAGGTATGACTTCATTTTAACAATGTCTGTGCTAACTTTTGACTGGGAAAAAAAACTAACTAGTAAATCTTTCTGAATACACTAGACTGTAAATATCCTGCAGATATGAACTTAAGCACTCTGACTGTGAGCTTACTGTGCGAGTGCCTCGGGTAAAGGGTACAACTTTTTGGAGACGCTCAAATTACAATACAAAATAATGAAAATATGATCAATATGTGATACCAACAGGAAGAGCAAAATCTATCACAAAAGTAATGCTTTTCTATTTTGTAAAAAATAAAAGTAAAAAAATAAAAGTATGACCATATGAATATTCCTGTAATCTCAAAGTAGGGACTAATAAGTGATATTCCAGCAAAAGCTTCTGTATTTGTTCTCTTCAGCCCACTTGGTTTACGGTTTACTCAGCGAGTTTAATCTGTTAAACTTTAGTTTGATGTTGATGCAAATTTGAAATGGCTCAACAGAAAGACACAGAGCTGCCAGATTACTTAAAAATATTTTGTCATGGCTGCAGACACAGTGAAAATTGTTTCTGTGAGAATAAAGTCATTTTATTTGAATCCCTGGTGGTCAACAAAGTATTTTTTTTATCCCCTTAGGACACAATAACCTAAAACAGACATAATATTTCACACAAAACACGTGACAGTGGCATTTGGACATATTAAAAAGAAAAAATCTGTAAACATTTACTGCTACTTTGGCTCCGTACTTGACAGGCCAACCTCAGGCACAATATAATAACAGGCAGCGACATCACCGTGCTCTACGCTGTCTTCTTTGTAGTGCTGACAGCGCCGGCCTTGTAGCAGAGGATCTGAGCCAGGAGGACACAGCTGAGACAGGCTGACAGTATGTGTGACAAACTCACAGGAGAGTTTCCATTTTCCTATAAAAAAAGTTTCAAGTTCTTCCAGTTAGTATACCTACAACTATGCGGTTGTACACGTATGTCTGCTAGTAATTCTTAACTGCATACCTGTAAAGAAACAAAGGCCACACCCAGAGACCCTGCAAATGAAAGCAACACTGACAGAGTGGATAGTTGACCTGTGTGGCTGTTGTGATAGTTTGTTATAGCCTGGAGAACCTGTAAATAACAAATCCACTAAATATGTTCACCGTGCACTTAAAAAAAGAAAAATTACAGTTCAGCGATCACATTTATCATAGAACAGCTCATAAATGAGGCAAGTTGATAAGTTGCTACCTTGCTTGCAATGAAAGCCGCCAAACTGGAGGCCTGTATCACTGAGATGACGGCTGCTGCTGCATAGGAGCGCAGGAGGAGCATCACACCACTGAGAGCAAAGAGGAGCAGAACTCCTGCAACAGAAACAGAAACCACAATTATATAAGATGTAGACTGAACTGAAATATTAAAATCACAAGATTAAAAGCTGACAAAATGATTAATTAAATAATTATTTTTGAACTCTAATTTAAACAGCTCTTTGTCAGTATGTT